CCCCTGTGCACTGACGTCGAACACCTGATAGTTGCCCGCGAGGATTGGAGAGACCGAAATCGGTGGTTTTGCTAAAGCCAAGTGACCACCGGGGAACCCGGGTATCCCTCCCCGGCCACTCCGACGGTTTCTACAACACTACCCTGTAATTTTAAGTGCAGCGCGTCCTAGAATGAAAACACAAAACACACCCTGGCGGCTGGCTCAGGGAGGGGAAGCCTCCTCCCCGTACACCAAGGGTTCCCTCTCTGGTCAGGGCACACACAGGGACCCGCCGATGGTTCCTCATTGCATCGCTGAAGATGCGTCCTAAATGAATGCATCCGTCAGTGCAGCAACAAACTGTGGCGGGAACCCGGGCCACTTACCAAACCCGACGAGCTCCGGGGAGGCCTGCACGGGCCTCACACACTCAGAGACCTAAGGAACCACATAGGGCGGTCTGAAATGAAAACCTAACTAGAGGCTGGTCATGGTGGCTGGTCACGTGCTAGGTCGCCGTTTTCCCCTAACAAAGGTGCGTTTTAACTGAGCCTGTGCTCTCTGCATCTGCGGTAACACACCTGTGGAGTACCAAAACCATTTCCTTTTCTAACCCCCCCAAAGCACAACCCACAACCAGCACACCAGACCCGGGACCACAGACCCCCTCGTCAGTGTCATCGTGTTAATTGCTGACTGTTACCTGTCCTGCACTCACCTGTGTGAATGGTGTGTGTCTGTCGTTTTACTTTTTATCCCATCCCACAGGTTTCCCCGCTTTGCTTGCTCCCACCTTCCTAATCAGTCCTTCACGAGTGGATGTCATGGAACCGCCTCACGTGTCCCCCTTGGATTCTGATGTACAAAGGAGGTGGTACAATTGCCATTTTCTCCGCCCCTTGAGATTTTGATTCCCGGCAGTTGTCCGTGTGGCTCAGGTAAACTCACAAAATTCTCACAGGTTTGGATGTTTCTTACATTGACAAATCCATGGGGTTCCCCCCCCACACTCTAAAATCAGTTATAAAAACCACCAATTCTCCTCCCCAATCCTCATATTTCTTACATTTAGCTGATAAGGAAAGTAAATCCAGCTGCTCAGTCTGCTTAGCTTTATCTTTTCAAAGCAATCAATCAGCCAAAAAAGATCAGGTTGCCCCAGCCGCTCGCCCCAGGGGATCCAGTCAGGGTGCACCCGTGGGGCTCGAGCCAGACCGCTCCACGGTGGCCCATTTCCAAAGGGCGTGCGTGCGGCCGGCTCTAGAACTTCCAGAAACCTGCACAGAGAGAGCATGCACGTACTTCACTTCTGTTTCTGCACGCGCCCTCCTCAGAGGGCCATCTCTCTCTGCCCCCCTTGACCCATCATCACCGCTCCTCCCCCAGGGCTCCGCCTGCCTCCGGGGTTCCTGCTGCTCCAGTCTCCTCATTCTCGCCACCCGGCACTCCCGCTAGACCGTGCCTGGGACGCCCAAGGTCAGGGTTGCCAGGTGCAGTCACTGCTTTGGGGCTCACTGGCAAACTTCTCACCCCAGGGAAAGGAGTTTTTCTGTGGTGTCCAGGCCCATGGGAGGGTCCAGGTGGCTAGCTGGAGCCACACATCACCCCGGGGGCCTCTGAGAACCAGAGGACCTCGGTGGCATTGCGGGGGGCGGGGGGACACCATGCAGGCACTCACCGAATGCAGGGCACTGCCGCAGGCCCTGCGTTCTGACAGCTTCTAATTACTCTCAACAGAGAGTAAGAGCAGCCAAACCCCCTCCACTCAGCATGTGGGCCCTGCCTCCTGCGCACCAACCCCACCTGGAGGCCAGGGCGGCCCCCTCCGTGGGAGCCTGGTCTGCAGACTGCGTGAGGGTGACCCTGAGCTCCTGTCTGCTGACGGGGACAGCCTGGGGCACCTCCGGGAAACGCAGAAGTTCAAGGGCCTGACCCACAGGAGGCCTTGGCGGGAGCGAGCGGCTCCCCTGAGCGCCCGGGCCGGAAGTGCACAGGAAAGAGCCGCCCAGAGAGCTGGCCGCGAGGCCCGGGTCCAGCTGCAAACCAGCCCCATGAGCAGCGAGACCGGGGGGAACCCACAGGGCTGCCCCACGCCCCAGTCCGGGGCACCTGGCGCATTCACGAAAGGCACAGGTGATGAGAGACCACCAACACAGTGACACTGGGTGCAGAGATGCACAGACAGCCCTGAATCCGTTCTTTTCCTGTATATTTGAAAAATTCCAACAATTCTTACAAAAAGGGATGGCGTTTTGAATTAAGAAATAAGCCACCTGTGCATACGAATATTCTGAACTGGAGAAAGGGAGCGCCGCTCAGAAACAGCTGCCCGGAGGCCACGGTCAGCAGCGTGTCATCCCCGCTAACTGGGAGGAGAACACCTCTCGGGGTTTGACGCGTCTTTGAAAGGGGGTGCAGACGTATGTGGGACTCCAGGCTTTTCCCGGGGAGACGCAGGCTCATGGGCAGCCTTTCCACGAGGTCCCCCAAACCTCCGTGCCCCCGAGACGGAGATGAAGCCTGACGTTCGCTGCGGCGTGAGGTCCCCTGTCACTCCCCCCGTGTTGTCGTCATCCTCGGGGTCACCCTGCCCTCAGGACACTGGTTCCGGGAAACCGTCTCCCCAGATGCGCACCCAGGCACACGGGCCGGGCCGAGAGAGAGTGTTTGCAGAGTGTTAGGTCAAAGACTCTCCTCTCCTCTGACAGATGGGGGTGGGGGGGGCCTGCGACGAGGACGCTGTTCAGTGGGGACGGACGAGACACTGTGGGGAGGGGGAGGCGGATGCGAGCGCCAAGGGGCCCGCAGACCCTCCTTTCGGAGACACTGGGGCAAATTCACGAGTGAGAGCTGAGACCCAGGGGCCAAAGCGGTGACGACCGGCGGGCTGCTGCAGCCATGGCAGGGGGCGCCCTGCAGGCCCCAGCCCACCGGCTGGGCCCTGGTCCGCACCGGCCGGCCGCCAGCGGGGCTCGGCTCGCCCCTCGCGCCCACTGCTGCCCACTGTCAGAGCCGCCCCGCAGGGCAGGACAGCGGTCACTGCTGAGGCCTCATAGCAAACTTGGGGAAACAGCGTGGGATTTGCTCGAGATTTCCAGGGGCATAAACAAGAAGCTTGTCTTCAAGGTAAAGTAAACGAGGCTTTGTTTGTGCGTCTGAACTGGTTTTGTCGGCTGCCCGGGGCTCTCGGAGGTGGATCTGGGGGCGGAGAAGCAGAAACCCGAGCGCCAAGCCCCTGGAAACCTGAGCGGGGCCTTGGGAGGAAATCTTCCCTGTGGCGGCCCCGCAGGAATGTGCAAACAACAGACGTTGAAACCTGAACCACAGGATAGTTTTTCAGGAAGCAGATCTCACGCGGCAAAGCAAACTTGTACCCACAGGTGCGGCACCTGCGGGGGGGGGCGGGGGGGAGGGTAATGCCGAGGACTCCAGCTGTGCGGAGTCAGCCTGTGAGGGGGCCGGGGGAGGGGAGGGTCTCATCTCCACCCCCTTCCTGCCCAGGGCCAGCACCTGGTTTCTGCTCCCTCAGACCATTCTGAGGGCGCCTGCACCCAGCAGTGAGCAAGTTGGGGGGTGGGGGGAGTCTCCACCTCCAGAGGCCGAACCCCCTGGGGAGGCGGACGGAACCAACGCGGAGGTCTGCAGGCAGCGAGGGCTGGGTGGGTTCGCTGGAGCAGCGCGGGGGAAGGGGGGTGAGGAGGGGCCGGAGGGCGCCGCGGTCTGGGAGGGGGAGGCAGAACCACGCACGCAGGGGCGGTCAGCAAGGCTGGAATCTGGAATCTGGGCAGACGTGGGAGGGAGGGGAGGGAGGGAGGGGCCCATGAACACACCTGCGGGCAGGGGGGCCAGGCAGGGCGGTCGGCAAGAATGGGGCCTGAGGCGGGGGTCCAGGCATTGGGGGCCAACAGGCATATGCCTGGGGCAGAGCGGGAGGTGGGGCTGGAGCAGAAACCCGCGGGGCTGGGGGGGGCGGCTGCAATGGCCTGTGACAGAGGCCTCAGGCGAGGACCTTGTGCAGCCCTGGTGGGACGATCAGGTCCCAGGCCTGACTGTGCCTGGCGGCCACCACCCACACACGTCAGAGATACACACGGGTCAGCGTCCAAGGACGGTGGAAGCCAGCCGTCGCCCCAGCCCTGACCCGCCTGTCCCCTGTGAACTGCCGCTGGGAGCCCACAGCGGCGTGGGCACCTGCTGCGACCACTCCGGCCGGGGAGGGCAGGTGGGCTGGCCAAGTGTCACCGCTCTGCCACCCAGACTCACGGACGGGCCGAGGCAGCGGGCACAGGTGGATGCCAGCATCCCGCCCAAGGCACGGACCTGGCTCTGGACAGGCCTCGCTGCAGCCACCACCCTGCAGGGTACACAGGGACAGAGGGCAGTGCTGGGCAGCACTGTGAGCACACGCACAGCAAGACCGGGGCCGCGGGACCCAGAGGACAGACGGCCCGGGGGCCGCACCAGACAAACTGCACGGGGGACACGGCAGGGGGCACTTGAGAACGAGAGACTCGTCTCAGGGAGGGGGGACGCCATCGAGAATCATGAGGAAGCCGTCTGGTCAGAGGTAGGTCCGTCCACGGGGAGGGTGGGACGGGGGGGCCTCGGGGGCTCTGGCAAGGCTGCCTCTGGGCCTGGGGGAGGTCACAGGGCGCCCACCTCGTGGTGACAGTTCAATGAGCCACCCATCTGTCCACTGTCACTTTCTGTATGTTTCTGGGGTAAAGGGTAACAGATACACAAAGTAAGGATCTTGTCCGACATTTTAAAGCTCGCATGGAGCTCCTAACACAAACACCCCAGGAGAAGTTGGAAGGACTTGCTGGTGCATCCCGGTCTGAGAGTCGGGGCTGACCCCACAGGCCGGTCAGGCGCCGGGGCTGTGTACGTGCAGGTCTGCCCGGCACCCCTGCGCCCAGCCCCAAGAGACCCCGCCCCCACGCCACGGCCAAGCTGTAAGTCTCGAGACCCGGTCCCTGCCGGGTGGCAGGGAAATGAACCTTCCAGGCACGTCCAGGTTGGTCTGCACCCTCATCACGTGGAGTCAGCCAGCGTTTTATTACTGCACCCCCACCACGTGGAGTCCGAGAGCTGCAATGGGACAAATGAGAACCGCATCCAGCCCAGAGCAGCGTAACGCTGAAACCCCAAACGCGTCTCAGATCTCCAAGAACACGGGATCCGTCCATCACACACTGGAGCAGCTTCTCCGCGCAGAGTCCCGGGTCCCAGCCGCCATCCTGAGTCGGTGCGGGAGGGCCCGCCGCCCACAGCCGGGGCTCCGCTCAGACTTCAGGCTGCTTAGCTCCTTCCCTGGCCAGTCTGTCGGCTTCCTCGTTGCCCACCAAGCCCGAGTGACCGGGGACGTGCACCTGTGAGAGAGAGCTTTCCCTGTACCTTCGCTCCTGCGTGGTGAGGCACTCGGCCCTGGGGCGGGCGCAGCAGGAGGCAGCCCCCTGGCCCCGGCCCCGCTCCCACCCCCAGGACACTGAAGGGCACGGGACTGCCCCACGGCACTGTGTCCAGGCCCCGCGGAGGCCGGCTCCGTTCCGACTCCCCACAGGGGGCTCTCACCGCTCGTCCTGCTTCCCAGGCAGAGCACCTGCACTGCGCATGGGTGTGTGTGTGCGCACGGCATGCACACTCACTCCCTGCACACGCTGCGCGAGGGGCCGCACCTGCGGCTGGGCACTGCTCTCGGGGGAGCAGGCTGTCAGGGGGCCTGGCCGGCAGGGCCACTTCCCTCAGGGAAAAGGCACGTTACGGGGCGCTGCTCACACGGCCGCACCTTCAGGGAAACGCGTTACACGCCGGCTCCATCCCACACGGTGGCTGCTCCCAGAGAGGCCAGCGGGCTGCCTGCCCCGCGCTCCACCGGAGGCGAGGTGAGCCACGGAGGGCGCGGGGCAGCGCATCCTGCTGCTGGCCCCCAGGAAGCAGCACCGCTCGCGCCCCGACACTCGGGGCGACGTGCACCCGGGGACCTGCCCCTTCGGCTGCGTCACCGAGCGGCTGGCAGCAGCACCACCTCTTGGGTCGGCTGAGACTTCGGTCCCGACAGGGACCACAGGACAGGGCCCCTGAGGGGACACTCACCCACCGGATGTCCATGCCCTGGACGAGCCGGTCCAGCTCCACGAAGTCCTCCCTGTTGATCACCTCCTTCCCGGCGCTCGTCCTCCACCCGTTCTCCTTCCAGCCCGGCAGCCAGCTGGTGATGCCTGGAGCCACGCCCCCGGGCTGTGAGCCTCAGGCGTGGCGGTCTCCCTCCCTGGACTCCCCCTCGCACCCCACCGCGTTCCCAGCAGCACTCGGGCCTTTCCACTTCCTCCCTGGGCGTGCGCGGGCCCCCGGCAGACCCCAGACCCTTCCTTTCTCCTCCCTCCACCCTGACTGGGCTCGACCTGCAGCTCTCAGCCCAGGACACCCCCTCCTCCAGGAAGCCCTCCCCAGCCTCCAGAATGACTCTCCGTGCTCCCACACATGGCACTCCCCCAAGAGGCCACCGGCGCGCCATCCTCAGTCACCACGCAGGCCGAGATTGAAGTGCCACGGGAGCAGGGCCACCTCTGCCCTCCTGGCACGTGTCAGGGGCCTGACAAAGCAACCCTGCGTGGCAGACGCTGGGGCGGCGGACCCCGTTCCCCGGCAAGCTTGCTGGAGGAACACCTGAGGAAGGAGAACGAGGACGCACGCTCACCGTTGATGGTGAACATGCTGTCCGTGTGCAGGACCAGCTTGTCGATGCTCTGCGCCCTCGCCTGCTCGATGGCCCTGCAGGCCGCCTGCAGGGGAGGGGAGGGGCGGGCGTCAGGCCGCAGGGCACGCTCAGCGCGCGTGCGACACGGCTGACGTCCAGTGACCTCACAACGGAAACCTCCCTCTTCTCCCGGGCGGACTGTCACGTCCGTGTCCTCCACGTGAAGCAACGCTACACGCAACGCTACATCCTGCGGACACGTCCGTCTGGAACGCCTCCTGACTCTCCTGGGAAGCGCCGATGCTTCCCACGTGCTGCTGGCCCCCGCCCCCCCACCTGGTCTCCCCTGGGCTTGGAGTAGCTCACACGCAGGCGGTGAAGAGCCGTCGGCGCGTTCCCAGTCGGGGCTCAACACGAGAACTGCAGCTGGTGACTTACGTGGATTTCTGCACGCTGGTTGGTCTGCCGCCCAGGAAGTCTAACGCCTACGTTTCTGGTTTCAAAACAGAAGAGAACGAACTTATGACAGGTCCATACACGTTTCTGTTTGAAATGCCAAAGCACCATACGGAGACTGCCCTCAGACTCAAACGAGCAACATCAGCACTTGACTGAGAACGCCACGTGTGCTGCTGGAGGAGGAACACTGGACCAAGGTCAAGGACAAATCTCACTCTGGGCTGAGAAGCGTGAGCCGGTGGCCCGGGCTGGCACCAAACCTGTGACACTCGGCACGTACGAGTTCACCAGCACGCACGGCGCTCGGGGCTGCCATGCGGCCGAAGTGCAGGTGCTCTGCAGACCGCACAGCCCTAGGGGAACTCGGAGGGGGCTGTTAACACTGGTTAAAGAGCAGCTCCCTCCTGTTAACCCTGCCTGACACAGCTGTGGGCCCTGGGGGCCTGGGGACTCTGCCCCAGCGGCACGTGGCCGCCTCCCGCAGGCCTGGCCCCCCCCCCCCGCCCCCGCACCCCAGGCTGCCTGTCCTGGGTCACACTCTGACCCTGACCCGCCTCTCGCACCTTCAGGAGGGTCGTGGCCACAGGGTGGGCTCCAAGTCCTGTGACCCGTCCCTTTGCACCCTGCCACAGCCGTGTCCCCGGGACACCGGGCCTCTCTTAGGGTGGCAGGCAGGTCATTTCGGTGTGGTCTCATCAGCGAGACTCGGAAGCTGCCCGCTCGGAACGACACCGCCCGCCCCGGGGTGGAGCCCCAGCCGTCCGGGAGTTCTCGGATGCGACTCGGTGAGCGGGAGCACCCCCCACCCTCCGAGGCCCCATCCACTCACAGCGGGTGGCCGGGCCCCCAGTACACGCCGATCCCCGCGCGTGCCCGCCTCCGCCCGTTTCTAGAGCAGCAGCCGTCCGTGTAGACGACGACATGTTCTCCTGAAAAACAGGCAGACAGACGGACGCCCAGTGAGGGCCGCCGGCCAGGCGCCACCAGCAACCACAGCTCACCTAGCACTTCCCGTGCTGGGGCCAGCATGTCAGACCCAGAGGGGGCTCCACGGTTCTCCAGAAGCGTCCTGTCTACAAAACACGGTCACTCCTGACACGGGGACGCCTGACCCCTTCTGCCCGGACTGCACTCGGGTTTGGGCCCCGCCCGCTGGGCACAATGAGACGCCGTTTGGAAGACCCAGGCCCCGCCGCCACGGCAGGTGCCGCTCAGCCCCGCTGCAGGGTCACAGAGCCCCGCCACTGTCCCTCTCCGTGGGGGCAGCGGCAGGGCCGCCTCCACTCGAAGGAGCCGTCCTCCCAGACAAGCAGGGCCTTGGCCTGATGGGGACCTGCTGGCCACGAGGCCAGGCCTCTGACAAACGCTGCCGTTGGTTCTTCTCAGCGTCCTCTTCACCGCCGTAAGCTGGGCTCCGCCCGGCTCTCTTCCCGTGAGGCAGAGGGTGTGCTCGACACACCAGCGCTGCAGAGGACGAGGTGGACAGGGCTCACAGGCGGCCACCCTCTGGCCCCCACTGACCAGCAGGACCTTTGGCAGGGCGGCCGGGGAGGTCGGGAGTGGGGGCGCGGGGGCAAACGCAGGCAATGTGCCAGCCAGGTCCCCCTCTGTCCCAGGAGGGTGAGGGGTGGGGCGGGGCCTGCCCTGGTCACCAGGACTGGGCACCACCAAGCTGACCGCCAGCCTCCTCCCGAGTCACTGCCGTGTCAGCTGCCAGCACCCGCCCCCGCACCGGGCCTGTGGGGGTGTCACCGTGCCTCCGGCCACTGCCAGGACGCTGCCAGCAGCTCTTCCCCAACCACCCATGGCGCGTGCTTCCGTCCCTTGTGGTGACGGCCACGGCAAGACCCCCTGGGGTGGGGGCGTGCAGACACCGTGACTGCAACACTGATCCAGCCGGTTCCCGCCCCGCCTGACCAAACGCTTCCTAACCTACCTGGAAAATGGCTGCTTCTTGGGGGAAAACACGGGCCTACAAACACACTGACTTGTTCTTTAGAAAACGCTGCTTGCCGCCCCCCACCCAGTTCTGTTCGCACGCGTGAAGGATGAGAAGGAGAGTGTGAGTCAGAGAAGGAGAGTGGGCGGCCGGTGGGCTGACGGGGGTGAGCGAAGGCCGGCAGTGAAAGGGTCCCGGGAGGGGTGCCCTGGAGGCCGCCCTCAGTGGAAGACGCCACCGCTGCGGCACCTTCTCTCGGGGGCCTGGAGGAGGGCTGCGCACCCAGGAGCACGGGTGTTTTAAAAGGCCGGGGTCAGCCACTAGGAACCCTCCGAACGGCTCTCCTGCGAGTGTCCCAAGTTGTAACCATTCTGTACCACGTGATCAACCACAAAACAGCAGCCTTAGAGATGTTTACATAAAATAAAATGCCCTTCAGGTAAGAACGAGGATGTTAAAAACATCAGCTCAAATTTCCCCCATTAAAGGACCGAGAGAAGTTTGCACGCGTACAGTCTCGTTCTGCACTAACAACTGAACCCCGAGAAAGCCGTACCCACGTAGGAGAAGGAGTCCCTGCCGACAGGAGCCGTCGCCTCCGGGGCCGGCTTCCCCTGCTTCGCGCAAGGCTCCTCCTCCTCCTCCTCCTCGCTGGCGGCTGGGGCCTCCCGGGGCCGCTTGCTGGCTTTCGCCTGTGGCTCCTGCGCACGTTCCTCTTTCCGGCCTGCGAGACAGAGTCTGCTCGGAAACCAGAGACCGCGCACCCGACGGGCCGTGACCGGGAACCCAGAAGTTCAGTGGGTCAGTCAGCTCGGGTCCCTACATCAGACTTTAAACGCCCTGTGCGCGTGGCCCTGTAAAGGGGACGACCCAGGGCACCCGCACCCTCAGACCCCCACGGCCTGTTCCTTTGCGCCCCACGCGCCGGGGCAGGCTTCACAGGGGCCGTGTGGGGAGGAGAGCAAAGCCTCTGCCGAAACGTAAGTCTGGTTTCGATGCCGCCGGTGGGGACGCCAAGGGTCACGAGCCCTCCGGCATCGCAGAGAGCCTGAGAACCTGAGGGGCTCCTTCCCGGAGAAACAAAGACCAGCGTCTTGCACGGAAACTCGAGAACGAGAGTTAGGAGGGGCACCCGGGGCTGTGACCGAGCCGCTCAACCGCACGGCAGAGCTCTGAACCGAGGAGCGGGGGACCCGTGTGGGCGCGCAGAGCTCGGTTCCTTGACACGGAGTCAGCTCCCGGTGACCGCGCTGGGAAGACGGTTCACGTGACAGCAAAGGGCTCAGGAGATGACACAAACTCACAGGGCCACGCAGCGGCAGGGTCTGGGAGGGCCGACTCCAGTTCTGCAAGAAGTCTGGGGGCGAATGCTCTCAAACAGCACCGCGCGCTGCAGAGAAACAGTCTGTGGAGGGAAGAGTCCACGGACGCGGCAGCCTCCACCGTCTGATTTTAAGAAACGGCCACAGCCTCCGGGGCCTCCGTGACTGCCCCGGCCGGTCAGCAGCCTTCGCCTCGGGGAGAAGACCCTCCGTCAGCAAAGCCGTTCCGGCTCGCCGGAGGCTCAGGGGGCAGTGAGGAGAAGAGTGTTTTTAATCAAGTGTGTGCATCTTTCCCAGGCAGACGCGACACTCTGCAGGGCAGTGTGAACGCCACTTCCGGACGCGCCGGGACACCCAGTCCACGTGACTGGCTTCCCTGCGCTGGCCGGGGCTGCACCTGCAACCCGGGGCACCCCTGTGTGTGCGTGGGTGTACGTGTACCACCGACTGGGAGGTCGTTGTAGACCTCCAAGGAGGGCAGACCCCCAGACGCAGAGAACTAGCCTGTCTGAGCACCTACAGCCGCACCAAGCAGACACATGCTTGTACTGGAGAACTTCAGATGTGAATAAACTACTAACTGGTTAGAACAGAAACCCTGTGGACAGGAAACAGCAGGAACCCAACCAGGGCAGGAGCCGTCCTCCCGGTCTTGCTCTGTGGCCCGAACCGGCTTCTCCACCTGAGCGGAGAGTGGGGCTGTCTCGTCAGAGCCTCTTCAAACAGCTGGAGAGGTGGAGGGCGGGGCAGAAGCACAGGCAGCACCATTCTCGCCGCCTGGGAAACGCGCCTCTCAGGGCGGCTTCCCAGCACCACCAGCCGCTGCCCGAATTCTGCTCCGTCCCGGGCTCCAGGGCACCTGACACGGACAGCTGTTCGGTGCCCGCGCAGCTAGTGGGGACTGGAGACCGTCCAACCCAAGCTCATCAAACTCCCCTCTGCTCAGACTTAACCTACTGCACCAAAAAAGCTCTGTGAGTAAAGTTAAAGAAAAAGAAAACCCCACTTCTTCAAGATAGATTAAAATCCATTTTTAAAAAGGTTGTGCTCTGAAGCGATCACTGTTTATCCTGCAAGCCTGCTGTCCCTGTGGCCGGCCTGCAATGTCAACGGACTACCCTTCCCGTGACCCGTGGAACTGCCGTGACGCCGGCTGTGTAGCCCTGTCACAATGACAAAGGGACCCCCTCCAGGTGCATGCTGGGAAAAGCACGCCACTCCTCACTCCGGAACTGCAGCCCATCCGTTCCAGTGACATGGGCAGGCTTTTTCTCAGACGCACTGCTGTGAGGACACTGGGTGGAAACAGTGAGAGAGCCGAGTCCTGGCTCGTCCCTAAGGCTGTCACCACTGGCAGGCCCTGCCAGGCAGGACAGAGAGTGAACGGAGGCGGGGGAGGGACACACGTCTCACCCATTCACTCAGCAGCCCACAGCCCGGTCAGGTGAGATCGCCCCGCGTTCCCATGATAGCACGGGAGGAGGGGGGCGCCCCCGAAGTCCTGCGTGGCTCGTTCCCACCACCTGGGAGCGAGAGCCTTTGCAACTGCACATTCATCCCAAGGTCTGGAGAGGGGAGGAGGGGGGAACCTAGAAGCTGGCTGCAAGCATACAACCCCGAAAACCCCAACAGTTGGTGCACCCGGACTGGCTGGGTGCCCGCCTGCGCCTCGTGCTCAAGTGCATTATTTTGTAAGCAAACCCATGAGCTCGTTTCCGCTACTCGAGTTGTGTCGTCTCTCGACCGAACTCATCTCGAACCCATCTCTACCAAGCAAGACGGGGGAGACCCCCACCAACTCGGGTCTCCCCGGGAACAGCACCACTAAGCTCACCTGCTCTCAGCCTGTCCCCTGGACTGTAAAAGGGAGAAACGTCACCAGTCACATCTTCTCTACCTGCTCGCTACCTAGCTGCGCAGACCAAGCGACACCCGGGGCGGGAAAGGCTCTGAAGAGGCTACATCGGCACAGAGGCTGTGCCGCGACTACCTTGTGAATCTTGGGGGCTCCCCGAGTTCCTGACGAAGGCCCAGGCTTCCTTTTCCGTGGCAAACTTCTTGAACCTGGCGGCAGGGAACCGGTCCACCTGCTCTCTGCACTCGTCCCTGGAACGGAGGGCGCTGTCACTCCCGTCCCCTCCCCCGGTCCACTCCCCCTTTCTAGGTGGTTCCCGCCCTGGGTTGGGACCAGTGTGAGAAGGCTGGGCTGCCCGCTCTTGGGGGCAGAGCCCCGCCCCGCGGTGTGTGGTTTCATCTCGCGTGTCCAGCCTTTCCCCACACTAGGCGGCCCACCAGCACCGCAAGGCGTCGCTCGCACTCAAAGCGAACTTCAGTCCCGGGGTCTTCGGGAAAACAAGGCCAGCGATCGCCTCCGCGGCGGCGCGGCTCGCTCACCAGGTCAGGAAGACCCCGGCCCTGCGGCCCCGCCTCACGGCGTAGAACATGCCCGGCCTGCCGCTGCTGCAGCGCACGGCTGCCAAAGCGACTCTCTGCACCGCGACCAGGAGGCGGGTCATCGCTCACTCCCGGGGACCCGCCAGCATCCTCCCTCTCGGCTCCGCGCCGCCATCACCTGGGCCAAACTTCCGGCGGCGGCGCGGAGAGATGACGCTAGACCCCGAGTGGCTGGGTCGGTGGGCGGGACCTAGAGCCCGGCGCTCTTCGGGTTCAACAATTTCGGGGACGTGCTGCCAGGATAGGGCGGAGCGGGGCGGGCTCTGGGGCGGGGCGCAGGGGCCGGGAAAGGGGCGGGGCCTAGGTTGCGGCGGCGAGGCGGCAGAGAGTTGGCTAACGTGGAGAAAAGGAAGGCTCTGGGCGGGGCCTATGGCGGGGCGTGGCCTAAGGCGGTTGACTGGAGTCGGGCTTGGACCAGGCCTTGTGTGGGCGGGGTCTGGGAGTAGTGGGCGTGGCCAGACTGTCTCTGGGGCGGGAAAGAAGGTGGGGCTTGTAAATGAGAGTACCCAGGGCCCGGGAAAAGTGCTTCATGATAGCTGCCCCCTCCCGCAACCGGGCGAGATCTTGTTGGAATTAGAGCTACTTAGGACTTGCTTTTCCTAGTCAGTTGGCTGGCTGTGGTCGTCCTTTGTCACGGTGGCCATCTGTGCTTAAAATTTCAATCAGTGACCAGGGCAGTGAGAACTACAGGTGAAATATTTTTGCCAAAGTGCAGGTTTTAGTTTACACATTGTTTTATTCAATTTCAATGACGTCTTTAAAATTGAAGTGTACACTTTTAAGTGTTGATTATTGGTGTTCAAAGAACGAATTAAGGAAACGGGTACAACGGACTGTTACATGGTTGTATCTAAGACTTGTTGATGGGACGAGGGTGTTAACAAAATAATCCACTTTGGGTGTGAAAAAGGCTCGGACGTCCCTGCCCCGTTCCTTCCGAGTGCACTCTCAGGTCTCCGCTACTGTGGGGGTCTCGCCAGTCTGCTCCCCAGCATGGACGGCAGTAGGAGATGCCCCCCCGTAGCCCAAGGAATGTAGGTCAATTGCTGCGCTACAGGCTTTTTAAGTGCAATCCTCCAGAGACAATGTGCTTGTTATTTATTTAACCGGCAGCGCTACAAGGTGGTCATCCGGGTTCACCTAAAGCGACCTGTGAACAAGAATGATCCGGGCAGAATTCTGATACCTTGGGGATGTTTCAGCAAGGCTTTGTCCAGTGATCTCCAGTTTCTCCGTTGGCAGAGGGGGATGAACTCACTAGTGTGAAAACATCCGAACTGCGAAGGTCTAAGGAGAACTCGATGTGAACACACTTGAAAACTAAGTGGTAGACGTGCACAAGTGTGTGTGTGTGTGTGTGTGTGTGTGTGTGAAATCACTAATTTATTTCCCCCAGCGCCCTCCCTTCTCCGTCCCTGAGCCGTGCAGGTCACATACACTGACTCTGAGTTCCGGCCGCAACTTACCAGCTGCGTGCATCTGATTTGCTTCGTCTATTCTCTCCCTTGAAAAACGGAGCTCATGACGCTGCTCTGGTGGCTGTGAACATGGACGCGTGTGACGTCTCTCACCTGGGCTGATACAGGTGTGCTCTCCCTGTCACGCTAACCCTTTTCATCCTGTACATGTTTCATGAGTATGGGTGGGAGAATGGTGTTGTTTTTAATGAAATATACCGAAGGTGAACAAATGATCAGTTTAAGACAAAAATTGTTACTTTTTCTACATTTTAAATTGTCAGCGCAAGAAACATTCAGCCCTGGCTGGTGTGGCTCAGTGGATTGAGCTGCGAATCAAAGGGAGGCTGGTTCGATTCCCAGTCAGGGCACATGCCTGGAGTGTGGGCCAGGTCCCCAGTGGGGGGCGCACGGGAGGCAACCACACGTCCAGGTTTCTCTCCCTCTCTCCCTCCCTTCCCCTCTCTCTAAAAATAGATAAAGGCATTAAAAAAGACCCATTCAAACCTGCAGATAATTTTTGTGAGTTTGTATGAGCCAAACTGGCAATTCTGGGAAGCAAAAATCTCCACGGATTGAGCAAATGCTCCAGAGAATGGCAGTTCTGCAGCTTACTTTATACATTACAGTCAGAGGAGGGTAAGGAAGTTACATGAAATTCACTGGTGACAGGAGATGGGAGAAAGCAAAGGTAGTGGGGAATCTCTTGAGATTGGATAGAAAGGAAAATGGCGATAAAAACACTTCTTTTACATTGGTGGGTAACACGATAACCGTAACCATGAGGGCTGGGGGGTGGGGGGGTCTCTGCGACAGCAAGGCAGGACGGATTTCCCATCACAGCCTCCCCTCCTGGCTTTCCGATCACGCCCCACTCACCCCAGCTGTCCCGACCGCCGGGGTCGCCTCCCCAGCGTCCCGCCCTCCGCCTCTGGGGTCCTGGCCCCAGCCCCCAGGACAGGTGCCTAGAGACAGCTCAGAACTGTCGCCGCACCATGGAGTCCATGGGCCGAGAAGCACATTCCTCCCTAAGGCACTACGTTTCCAAAGAGCTCCGAGAAACCCCCTCATTTGGTTCTCCATAGGCTGAACCGGACTGTGGGTCGGGTTCCTTTCCCCTGATTCAGTGGGAAGTCAGTGACGTCCGGCGGTCTTAAATGTCCTGTCGTCGGGGGTGATCGAAGTTGCTTTCTTCTGGCCAGGTCTCCCGCCCAGACCGCGGCCCGGGAGCCCGGCTGCCGCTTCAAACCCCGGGAGCCGGCAGGGGAACTTCCGCGAACGCCACCGAAATAGAGGCTCCTCAGCCGGAAAAGTGTTACCAGCGCACTAGTTCCCCGGAGCCACTTTCCGGGACTCTCTAGGCTTCTACCATTTCTCGGTGGTCCTTCCGATTCCTCTAGTCCCCGCCTCTTCCTTTCTGCCGCCGGGATTTGACAAGCTCTCGCGAGACCTAGGCCTCTTCCCAGGCCGGCGCTCACCCAGGTAAGTGTGAGGCCTGTTCTCCGCCGGGACTTTTCTGCCAATTTGGGGGGCAGCAGGCGTTGGAGTCAGCCTTGGAGTGGCGGGCCCCCCTCACCGGGTGGGGATGCGGCGGATGAGGCGGCGTGGGCCCCCAGATGGCGCCGGCGGGGTGGGTCGGGGCGCGGGGACCCGCTCAACCCGGAGCTCCCTGTGGTCCTAGGAGACGGCCATGTTCAGTTCGAGCGCCAAGATCGTGAAGCCCAATGGCGAGAAGCCAGACGAGTTCGAGTCCGGCATCTCCCAGGTGAGGGGCGGGGCTGGCCGGCGCGGGCGCCCCCGGCGAGCGGCCGCCCGCGCGCCGCTGAGGTCGCCCCCGCTCTCTCCCCCAGGCCCTGCTGGAGCTGGAGATGAACTCGGACCTCAAGGCGCAGCTGCGCGAGCTGAACATCACGGCGGCCAAGGTGCGGCGCCGCGGGCGGCGGGGGCGCGGGGCGGCCGGGGGCCGCGGCGGGAGGCGGCGGGGGCCGGGGGCCGGGGCGCGGGCGGCCGGGGCTCCGGGCCCTCCCCCAGCGCCGCCCGGTGTGTCGCCTCCAGGAGATCGAGGTCGGCGGCGGGCGGAAGGCCATCATCATCTTCGTGCCGGTGCCGCAGCTGAAGTCCTTCCAGAAGATCCAGGTGCGGCTGGTCCGCGAGCTGGAGAAGAAGTTCAGCGGGAAGCACGTGGTCTTCATCGCGCAGGTGGGGGCGCGCGCGGGGCGTCCCGGGGGCTGGGGGGGGTCCCCGAGGCCACGTGCGCGGGCTCGGGCTGCTGGAAGTGAGCCGTCGGGACCGCGGAGACGGTTTCGGGGGGCGGGGAGTTGCGCCCGGGCGGGGGGCGAAGGCGCAGGGCCCGTCTCCGTTCCCACCGCGGGGCAGGTGTGGTGGCTGCAGGCGCTGGTCCGGCGCAGGTCAGTGGGTCTGGGCCGGGTGCCCTGCGGGAGGCTCGCCCGCCTGCGGCCCCTGGTGTCGGCCGAGGCCGGTGGGGCGGGCGGAGGAGGGGTGCTCGGGCACGAACGTCCGCGGCGGCGGGGCGAGCAGGGCAGAGAGCCGAGGAGCGCTGGCCCCCGGCTCGCTTTCCGGCGTTTGACGGTTCAGAGCTTGAGTCGGTCCTGGGAGGGTTTTTCCCGTTAGAGCAGTTTGACAGCTCTTCCTGCCAACCTCGGTCCGTTTGTTGTGAACCGCATGGTCGGTTTTGCCTTGCAGAGGAGGATCCTGCCTAAGCCGACCCGGAAAAGCCGCACGAAGAACAAGCAGAAGCGTCCCAGGAGGTGAGTCCTCTGTCGGTGTCGGCGCGGTGCGCTCTGCTCCTGCCCCAGCGGGGGACCTGCAGGGGCCGTCCGCGCTGCGGTCGGCTCCCGGGGTCGCAGGCGGGGGTTTGGGAGAGCCGTGTGCGCCTCGCCGGTCGTTGATCGAGGGGCTGGTTGCCCGGGGTCGCAGAGGGGACCCGTTGTGATGTGCAGGGGGCAGCAGGTACGGGGGCTGGGGTGCATCGCCTTTGCTTCTCGTTGTGCTGTGAATTGAGGCTAAACCGTGTGTTTCTGGTGCCCGCACCCGGGGTTGGACGTGTCGGTGCCCGTGTGCACGCTGGTGGGCGTCACCTTGATTGACTGGGGTCCTCTGCACAGACGCAGGGGCTGGGAGCCGGCTCCTCGGTTCCGGCCTTGTGCCACGGACGTGGGTGCCGGGGCGGTCCGAGGAGACGCGGTCTGCCGTCCCTCTGAGTGCCACGTGGGCTGTCCTAAGGGGGGTGCAGTTTGTGTCACCCTTATCCCTGCTTAAAGATGGGGGGATGGGGCGTTTACTCAAAAGTAAGTAGGACACGGGGTAGGGGACCCACCTGGGCTTGGAGAGCGGGTGCGCCATGGCCGTGCGGGTGCAGGAAACCCCGGCCTTCTGCGAACCCCCGGGGAGTGGCGGGGCCAGCGACACCGCACCGTGGCGGGGGGCAGAGGCTGGGCGGACAGGTGCGGGGCTGCTGGGGCCTGACCTCGGGGCCCTGAGCCGGGAGCCAGGCGTGCCGGCCCTTGGAGCAGCCTGAGAGTTCCGGGTGGTGTGCAGGGGGCGGGTTCAGGAGACAGTGGAGCTCTCGGCTCGCTGGTCACGGCCCTTGGGAGAGCGGGTCTGCAGCCTCGCTGCTGAGCACCTGTGGGTGCCTGCGAGGGAAGGCGGACCCTTGGCTTCGTGGCGGCTCGGGG